AGATTAACATTCCATGCTCAATAATTACAAATTCTTCTTCCCCATTTCTCTTAGGCCCAGACTTCTTATGTAAAAAAATAAAACCTTTCTTTACGAATTCAGACTTTAAAATAGTATACTTAAATACATAGGACAACCCAAATGGTTTGCATGTTGGCTCTGGCTCTCGTCCAAAACCAAATGCTTGCTACTCAACTTACTCTTCTTATTAAACCCATAGAGTATAACTACAGATAATCGGACTCAAAGATATTTCCCGTAGATATCTGAGAAATTTAGATATTGCTGTGAAAATTTGTTTTGGTAAAATTCCTACTATCCCTTAATATATACCTAAACTAAATTATTATACTTTTATCATATGGTATAATCATTAAATTTTTATTTAGTGGAAACATAGTTTAAATATGTTAAATTATAAAAAATAATGGAGTCAAAAATTTTATCTAGTGAAAGCATAGTTCAAATTTATTAAATTACAAAATAATAATAATAATAATAATAACAACAACAATAATAATAATAATAATAGTAGTAAAAAATTAAAACTTCCATATCCCAACATAATTATTAAAAATTTTACAATGTTCTTTGACGTTGTTTCATATTTTGAAAAAGTTGCATGATAGTTTTATTATCAATCCTTTTCAACATATATTTTTCAAATGTACACAATTAAATTATCATTTTATCTTTGATGTTTTATTTGATTATGCAAAGCAGTTATAAGAATATTCATTGATGAAAATACTCTCTCTACTTTAATAATTACTGCGGATAAAATCAATACAAGTCTTAACAACAAATAAATTGGTTCAATGAAATTCTGTTTATCTTTATCTAAGACAAAAACACATGACTTCATATATTATTATTATTATTTTTTTTTTTTGGACTCAGAGAGAACTAAAAACCCCATTGCGCACAATACGGCTCCGCCCTTGGGGATAATATAACGGTGCTAAGTAAGGAAGATATTGGAATAAAACTGAAAGAAAATACTAGATAAAAATATATGAAGTCGAAGAAATAACACACACAAAAGGCAAAATCCCGAACCTGACTCAGTAGGTCTTTACTAATTAATTAGGCAAGGCCTCTCAAACTTGCTTGACTCTTTCAAATACTATTCAAGTTTATAGGGGCTTTTTATAAAATTGAAATGTTAAATTTGAAGTGTTGAATTAGAATTCAAAAAAGATAAGTGAGGGTGTAGAAACCCCATTTCGTCTGGAAAAATTTTTTTGGGACTGAAAACGAGCCTTTGACAATAAATTGAGCCTCGATTAAAAGGATCTGGACCCAATGGGATAAAGGCCCAAAAAATTCTAATTTTGATTTTAATTTTAATTTTAATCTTAATTTTAATTTTAATTTTTGTAAAAAAATCAAAAGTCCAAAAAAAGGAAAGTAGAAAATAAAAACGTGTGATTTTTTAAAGGAAACCTGTGATTTAATCTTGGATTCAAAATTTGGAATTAATGATTTCATATGAAAGAGGAAATCATCGAAAATTAGTTCTCAAAAAATCAAATCAAACCAAATTCAGTTGAATTGATTCATTTTTTTAAATTGAAAGGGATTCAATCTCTATAAGAATAATGAATTATACATAAATCAAACACAAAAAAAGGCACACACAAAAACGGGGTAGACAAAAGGCAATAAGCAAATTCTAACTATTGGAATGTACAAAAATTTTCTGGGTTTGAATTTTGTTTGGAGATTCATTTTGGGGTTTTCTTTAACTTTTAGAATTGGGTTTTGAGGAAATCGTAATATTTGGGATTGCCAAAGTTTTCTGGAAGTTAGTGTTTTGATTCTTGGTTTTTAGTTTAGATTGAGGTTTGGGTAATTTTTGGAGTTCTAGGATTGGGTTTTTTTTTTTTTAGTGAATTTTGGATTTTATGAACTTGTTTGAATTTCTGGGTTTTCTAGGCTTTGTATGAATTTTTCAGTGATTTTTTTGAATTTTTCAACTGATTACACGATAGTTGGAAGGGTTTCACGGTGGTCGATATAAGAGTTCTTGAAATTTTTTGGGTAACTTTGAATTTTGGATGGCCAGTTGAATTTTCTATGTTTGTTTGAATTCCCCGGTTGAACGTGTAGAGAGAAGTTAGAGAAAAATTTAGTTAGAGAGAGAAAGGGGATTAAGAAAATCTGAGAAAAAAACTAAAATTTTGCCTTTCATACAGAAGAAATACGATGTCGTTTTTGCAAAGCCCAACCCATGTGTGAACCCGACGACTCGCATGTTGACCCATGCTGCAAACCCAATTCGAATCGCACGGTTTGGCTTTTCAGTTCTCTTTTAATTTTTAGTTTTGATTTTTATTTTATTCCTATTTTTTCTTTTTCTTTTTTTTGTGTTTTGCATATTTTTATTTTTTGTTTTTATTACGTGATTGAATTAATATGATAAAAAAAGGGTCAAATTATTTATGATATTTTATTTATTTATTATTATTATTATTATTATTATTAATTAATTGTATGATAATTTATATATTATATTATTACATGATATACTATATTTTTGCTTGATACTGCAAGAAATTATTTGCATGATAATTTTTATTTATTTTAATTGATTGTTTTTCTTTTAAAATAAAAAGAGAGTTTTCAATTTTTTTTTTAATCCTACTAAATTATTGGAGGATTTAAATATTGAATTAAATCTTATCAAACTATTAGATGACTTAATGAATTTTCTTGAACACATATTTGTTAAAATCCTACCAACTTATTAAAAGATAATTCTTGATAGAAAATATTATCAATATTTTAGAAAACATTTCTGAAAATAAATTATTTCTTATAAAAATTAGATTTTGATTGGTTATCACAAATAAAATTTTTTTATAAAAATTAAATGAATTCGATGATAAAGTCTCTTCAAAATAAATAATAGTCTCCATAAATACTTTTGATGTAAGAAAATTATCTTAAATTACTATCAAACTATTGAAGTAATTTTTAAATTAATTTTCAATAATTAAATTATTTGATAAATTATAAAGATGTTCTAAGGCTTGGATAACTTGAAATTAAACTAGTACCGTTCTTTAAATGTGTATTATAAGGTACTATAATTTTTCTCTCGTGTAACTACACTTCTAAATTTAAAATCTGATTTAGTGTATTAGAATCTACCATTTAAAAATACATAAATCAAGTTTGGATTTCTCTTTAAAATATAATAAATTTAATTAAGTAATTAATCGCACCTAAAAAAAAAATTAGTGACAACTCTTTAAGTTTATGTCTAGTAATAGGTCTATACATTTATACATTATGATAGATGAAATTAGTGAAATATAAAAAGATTATATCATATTATGTGGTCAAATTGGCTAGCAAAACTCATTAAAATCATATAAACATTGTATCTTTGTTATTCATGTGTTTATCTTTTGGATGATTGGTTAGCGCAATTAATATTTTATAAAAGGGAAAATATTTGTAATTGTATAGCACATTTATCTTTAAAATTAAATTGTGTAAATTACTTCCATAATCTGAGTATCGTTTTGATCTCTAAAATTTCAAAAGGAACATGTTGGTCCCAATATTTTGATGGTTGTGATGAAACAACCCTTTCGTCCACCAAAAAAGGTAAAAGAAAAGTTACAAAATAGGACAATAGATTGATAATATTATAAATTAAGGTTAAACGATAAAATAATTATAAAAAATAAAAATTTGATAAAATCTATTTTTTTGGATATTAAGTTTAAAGTATTTTTATTGTTCTTTTTTAGGTTAATTTTTAAATTAATTAATATTTTATTTTCTTAGGAAAAAATTTACTAAATTGTTATTAAACTTATCCATAAATTGAAGCTATTAACAAAATTAATAAGTTAGGCTTGACTCGAGTTTTGAATATGATTTTTAAAGCCTAAGTTTGACTTGATCGAATTATTATTTTATTAATAAAATATTTTAATTTAATTTGTATTTTAAAATATATTTAAAAAACATAAAAATATTAATATAAATTTTTTTAATATTTTAATTTTTAATAGTAAAATGAGCTTATTCGAATTTCAATGGATGAGTCAAATTGGACCTTAAACGAAACTTTAAAAGTATCATTCAAGTATGGCTCAGTTTTGAAAATCCTTGCTTGCGGTCCAAAATAATTAAATTCATCATTTTCTAATAATAAGTGATAGTGCGAAATGTATAATATTTCATTAAAAATTGTAAACTAATATTTTATGATGATGAAACATAATAAAATAAATGACAAATAAATGATGAAATATTTTATAATTGTTTGTTTTAAACAAATAATAAATAAATTTGAAGAAAAATAGGTAATTTTCACTTCCAAGATACAAATTTCTTTTTTCTATTCTAAAACTATACCCCAAAAAATATTTATTTAACAAATTAAGGGTAAAAAATAATTTTATCTTTATATAATTATCAAAATTATTAGTACTAAGTAAAAAAGTTTTATTATCATTTTTTTTTTTGTAATTTTAGCATTTAATGACAATTTTGTTGATGGAAGGATCATTTTGTTACGAGTATCAAAATATAGAGACTAACATGTTTTCTTTTCTTTTTTTTTTCAAGGATTAAAATGATACTCACATCAAATTTTAAGAACCTTGGAAGTAATTTACCTACTAAGAAACAACTTATCAAGATTTAGGGACCCTTGTCTTCTTTTATTGTTCTGATTGTAATATGAATAATAACAATATTTGATTTCTTGAAAGATAAGGCTTATAAAACAATTTTTTAAAAAAATTGAGGGTAGGTGGCATAATTATCAGTTATACACATAAAATACAAGTCCACAAGGGATATACTATATAATATGGGTAGAGATATCAGTTCATATCTCATGATCTTTTTTTTTTTTTTCAATAAATCTGATCATCTTATTATCCTGATTGAGGATTATAGGGAATCTTGACATCTTCGGACCCATCCAAGATCTCACACCCTAACAAACGTATCCACTGCTTTTGCCTGTCATCTTCTTGCCCACTTGGGAGAAAATCCTGTCCCCAATCCCAAAGCCAAAACAAAGTTAAAACAATCAACAGAAATTGGAAAAGGAATACTCCCCAGTCCCCTCTATTGTTCCCTTTACACCGAAGTCATGGATGAGATATTCTTCCAGATTCCTTCCAATTCCGACCCTCAAAACACAACCCCACAAGATAAAATTTTGGATTATGTTCCAGAGGGTGGCAGGAGTGGTAGTAATCTGTACAGCAATATGGGAAGTAGGAGCCAGCAACGAAAATTTTTGGCAAGTGACCAGAAAGAAAATAGTAATGATGATGATAAGAAAAAGTCGATGCATAGGGATATTGAGAGGCAAAGAAGGCAAGAAATGGCCTCCCTCTATGCTTCTCTCCGAACTCTTCTCCCTCTTGAGTACATCAGGGTGAACAGCTTGTATTCGAATTGACCTTGTTTGTTCAAATATTTAGATTTACTTTTCAAATTAATGGATACCTATTTTTTGCTTTTTACATCAGTACTGCTGTATCTACTTGCTACTTTTTTTCTTCTTCTACAATTGAAGAAACTGCACTCCGGGTTTGGCATAATTATGAGTTTAGGGTTACTTTTCATGGGGTTTCAGGGAAAGCGTACCATATCAGATCATATGAACGGAGCAGTTACCTATATAAAAGATCTGCAGAAAAGGATTGATGAACTGAGTGCCAAGAGAGATGAATTAAAGAAGCTATTAGATGCGACTGGTTTTGACCAACGGATGAGCTCTAAGAACTCTTTCCCAAGCAGTGCTGTAGTTCGCCTATCTTTGGATGGCGTTGAAGTTGTGATCAGCACCGGTCTTGGAGCTCAAGCTTTGACCCTCTCAAGGGTGCTAGAACTATTGCTTGAGGAAGGACTTGATGTTGTTAACTGTATTTCTACCAGAATTGATGGAGGACTGATTCACACCGTCCAATCTGAGGTATGATCTTTCATTGACTACTAGGTTAGGGTTTTTTATATGGTTATCAGGCTGCTAACCAACTGCAACCCTTTATTTGCCTGTTACAGGTCAGTGATCTGACATGCGTCGATGTACCTGGGCTGGAGCAGAAACTAAATAAAGAAATTTAGTATTTGAGTCAATTTTCCTAGCTACCAAACCGTATATATGTTCTTTATTGGAGATTTTCCCATCACAGCTCCCACGTTTTGATTATGATTTCAGTAAGGTCGGTCCTTTCCATATAATATATCTGACACATTCCATCTTTTGCGAGCTTTTTTGCTTTCAGAAAAACTTGGTAGAAATTAAGTATTAATATTATTAGATCATCCCTGAACATCTCCTGAAACGATAATGGTCCTTCGTCTACATTTGTATTGCACATTTATTTTTCCTGTTATCATATGTACCAGAGGAGTGGAGTGGAGTGGAGTGGAGTTTAATGTGGTGTTTGCTATTATAACCGCCCTTTTTAGATCAATGAAGTGATAAACTAGGCAAACATTAACTGTCTTTACATGCATTGCACGTTAATGAGAACCAGATTAACTTCATTGTTTATCCTTTTTTTTTTTCTTTTTATGCTTGAGAACTGAATTTAGCTCCACCTCATGCTGATATCATCAAAATCTCAAAACTTTTTAGTTGAATGGATTGTAGGATAATTTCAGCTATAGAGAGGCTTCCTTGCTGCATAATCAGCGAAAGCTAATTGTACTTTTCTGTAATGTGGCTGACTAGACACTGATAGAATCGCTGTATTCAACTCACGACATACATCCACAATCAAGTAGGCCGGCCTTGGCTCCTTGCAGTAGAACATGATTAGAAGATTTGCAATTATAATATGTTGATATATATACAAATTAAATTTGCCATTGCAGTTTTCTTTCCCAGCCGCTAGAATTAGGATTTGATCTACTAGGCACAAGTGTTGTGCTTTCCCTTTAGCGTCAATATTTACCAGCTTCTTTCTCTCTCTCTCTCTCTCTCTCTCTCTCTCTCTCTCTCTATATATATATATATATATATATATATTCTAGCTTTGAGTTAATATAGTAATTTCAACTTAACTTTTTGTCAAGAAAAAGTTTAATTGACAAGTGGAAATGTTTACATGCATATGCATGTTTGTCAGGAGGTTCAAACTATCATCTGATTAACGTTCAATACTTTGAATCTTTGTTAAGATACATTGATGACTTAAAAGTGCAAGCGAGTAGCAATAATTTAGAATTGGTTTAATGTTTCTTTTAAAAGGCATATGCAATTTATAAAGGAATTTCCTGTAATCTTTAAAGTTATAATAATTATATGAGAAAGTTTGCCTAATTCAGCGGCTGTTATCTCAATTGTCATATCTGCATATTGCAAGCTGCTTAAAGTCAACAAAAAAAAAAAAAGTGAGAATAAAATTTAGATAGAAAAACTTATATGAGCTCTTCAAACTTAAAAACATACCACCAGCTTGTATTTAAAGAAATTGCACTATCTTCTTCTTCTTTTTTTTTTTTTTGGTTATTATCTACACAAGTTGTAGTTGGATGATATATAGAAGAATAACTTTCAAACATTCAAGAGATTCGAGTTATTTGAATGGAGTTTTTTCATATATAAATCCATTTCATACGATTTTCCTAGGTCCGATTTCTATGTTCTGTTCGAAAATTTAAAGCTTATAAGGTTGCTCCTATATGTATGTATTGAAGAGAGCAAAGAATTATTAGGTTACTGTACTTACCTTTTACCGCATGCCGAATATTTTTAGACTGGGGATAATTGGGGTAGATGATCCATGGTCAAAAACAACTATTAATATTAGAATCATGAGTTACGTCAAATTTCTGGCAAGAGATTTTTAAATCCAAACTAATTAAGTTCCATTTTTTTTTTAATGAACTGCAATGCATATGTTGTCCTACACGTTAATTTATTCCATTTTCTTTCTATTTATTGTTTAGCTTAGTGATTGCTTTCTTTGCTGACTACCAACTTCTATGCAAAGCTTGCCGACCGCCGCGTGTGATTTGTCGGTACAATGTTAAACCCTTAGTTCTACTCTTGTCATTAGTGTTTGATCCCAATAGTTTAAAGTACCAAAAAAAAAAAAAAACTTCTATGCATAGCTGGATTCAAATTATTTTTATACGTGATTGCCAGCTAGGAAAGTTCAATATTTTCTGATTGCATATCATAGCAGATAATTAGTTAAGTATGTATAACATATTATAAGATACATCCACTCAATTAAATTCATTTTGGAAAAACATATGTGAAGCTATATGCATTTTCTGCATTTGGAATGTATGTGGTTGTTTGTAGAGGAAATGCCTACGGTAATTCAACATAGATATGTACACATTTAGGGCCATTAATATATAGCATATATGTGGAACCAAAGAGTAGGGGAATGAACAAAAAAAAAAAAAACTACAAATTTCGATTTCTATGTTGTGGCTTAGTTTAAGGAAATGAACTTTTTTTATTTAATTGTGTTAGTATATATATCATATATAATATTATACTACAACATACATAAAAATTTGATAAAATTTACTTATGTGGATGTTTAGATAGACAACCTATATTATTGACACGTAAGATTTTTTTCAATAACTTTATTAAATCAATTATTTAATTTTTAAAAATTTTAAAGTTTCAAAATTTTCATTTATTAAAATCTTTCAAAATGTATAAGATTTATCTTAATTTAAATCTAATAAAATATATCTTTTCATAGTTCACTCTTATCCAATTCAAATAGTTTTTAAAGGTTAAATTCCTAAATCTTAGAAATAACAAGAAATTATATACCCTCTAAATTAATATTCATATAAATTTAAATAAAAAAATTTATGGTTGAATCACTATTATTTACTAAATTTTTGTCTTTATTTTTTTATAATTTAAAATAAAAAAGAAAAATATTTTATCTTAATTTAAAATTACACACATCTAAATTTTAAATTATACTAACTTTTTTTATCTTAATTTAAAATTAAACTTAGATAAGCTAAATTTTTAAAATTTTAGATATTTTCAAATTAAATAATTATTAAATATATATTTATGATTTTTTTCTCACAATCAATATTTTCTTCTTTTCGTCATAAAAGTTTGATAAGATAAAGTTTCAAAATTAAATATGCAAAAGTCTTTCGTGATATATTACATGTGTAAATTTTAGTTTTTATACTAAAATAATATATTCTTTTAAAAATTTATATAATTGTGAATAAGGGATTAACTTTCTCATTGATATTTGTATATAATTTTACTTTCATAATTTAAAACTTTCATAATGCTTATTTAGAATTTTTCATAATAATTTATATATAGACAATTTTTTTAATTTTAAACTACAAATTATAAATGATTATGATTATTTTTATTTATCTATATATAATATAAAATTAATATAAATTAAAATTTTAAATCTAATATATATATATGTTATATTACAACATACAAGGTTATATAATCAAAATTACTTATGTGAATGTTTAGGTGGATAATTTCTTTTAATGACACATGAGATAATATTTATATTATTTTATTTATCAAATAAAATTTTTTAATAAATTATTTAAATTAAATATTTTAGATAATTATTTAAATTGAAATCAAGATCTACCTAAAATTAAAATTTTTGCATAAGATTTGAATTCAAATATATTAAATCATAATTTATCTTTTCTTTTTAAATTTAATGACAGTTTCAAATATATATACTTAATAAAATTTTATTTTTTGTCAAATAATTCTATTTAATAAATTATTTAAATTTAATATTTTTAGATAATTATTTAAATTCAATCAAAATCTATCAAAAATTAAAAATTATTTAATAGACTATTTAAATTTAATACTTTTAGATAAGTTAATAAATTATTGACTAGAGAGTATGTATTTTTAAAGTAATAAAAGCTTATATCTTTATATGAAAATATGAAACATTTGAATGTTGATTAAAAAAGTTAGATAAAAATATGTTTTTACTTTGAAAACAAATATAATGTTTTATTTATGTTCTAATTTAAATATTTTTATATTATATATTTGGTTAATTTATTTGTTTCTTCTTAGTTCATAACTATTTTTAATTTTGCTTAGATTGATTATAATTAACCTTTTGTATTATATATATTTTTGTTTTATTCATTTCTTTAATGTTTTTATTCTCTGTTAATTTATTAACATATTTGCTTTTATTATTGTAAATATTTAATATTGACAAATTAATATGTAAATTTGTATTCTCTATTTTCTTTAGCTATACTTTTTATTATTAAATTTTTTTGTCTGCAATGAATGATATGAGAAGAATGATGATCACTACTATATCTAACTCACAAAAAATACTATCAATTATGTTAAAAATGATTAAAAATAAAAAAAAAATTCAAAAAAAATTTTAAAGCATAACATAAAGAATTATTGTTTTCCTTTTATCTAAAAAATAATTTTATTTTGTTAACATATATAGAAATAATTGTTAGCCCAATATATTTGTATCAAAATGAGAATTAATAAAAAGCAAATGATTATAACAAAATTAATAATTGTGATTTGTTATTCAATCAAATATATATATATATATATACACCACCTAATCAACATTATGATAAAAAAAAATTATTAATTTTAACTATTTAAATATTGATTCTTGATTTTTTATCAAACAAGAAAAAAATGATAACAACATTTTCTATATTTAACAAATAAATTGAAAAAAATATTTTTAATGAAAAAATTTTATAATTCTTGAAAATTTACAAAAGTTTAGACTTTTTTTAGATGAATAATATCATTTATAATATGTTATGTATAAATTATCAATTAATTGTAATTTAACATTTATAAATATATGATTATATATTAAATAAATAATTAAAAAATAAATTTAAATTTATGAAAAAATTTTATAAAAATCCCGTACATTGTATTGGTTAAAAAAGCTAGTTTATATATATATATATATATATATATATATATATTTGAGATTATCAGAGAAATCTAAATTAATTATGAAAATTAAGAGTCCAATATTATTCACCAAACTATATAACTATTCATAGTTATATCTTTCTTCTAAATCTTGTTTCTTAAAAATGAAAATTTCAATTTCAAATACTTGATAGATATACTTATTAAACATTTTTTTTATCCAAATGAAAATTATTGAATAATTGAACCTACCACTTCTCACTATGTGAAACCTTTTAAAAAAAAAGGTTTTTGCCTTTTATCTTTTGATGATTGTAAATTTATTTAAAGACATCCATCATATGGCAAAATGATTTTTTATTTCCCTCTGTTCATTGCTGTTTTGTCTTAGAGTTTTGGCATATCAACTAGAGATTACAGTTAAAAGACAAAGAAATGGCTTGAAATTATGCTGAAGCTATTTTTTTGTATGTGCCAATGCCGCCAAGGAAGAGGGAAAGGAATCCACGAAACAAGTGATCAGATTTCTCGTCATTCTTATTTGTAGTATAACCAAAAAAAGTGTATCATTCATACATATAAGCATGCCTGTTTAACGTTTTCATTTTTTTTTTATACTCGTGGGAAAAAAACAAGAGAAACTGTATTTTATAGTCATTAATTTTTTTATGACAATTACTTAGATTATTTATAATTCAGCAATAATCATTAAAAAATAAAAAATATTCAAAAACATAAAAGTGACAACAATACCAATCGACCCTTGATAATTATTTAGATTTTATAAAATGTGAGTATTGATCAATTAATGTTATCTCATGATTGGTCACCAGTGAATAATCTAATTTAGCCTCAATTCATCGTGTGCCCATCCGCTACTTTTTTTTGGCTTAACAACATTCCATACATACCAATATTCTTTTGGGTTCAATTTATAAATGCCGTTAAGCGGTGGATGAAACTAAACTTTCCCAAAAGAGTAGGATGGCATAGGAGAAAACTAAAGCTACCAATTAGGAAAGGGTAGGGGCAAGTTGCATGCATCTAGACCTCAAGTCATTGTTTGGTATCACTTTTTTAAAAATAAAGGATGAAAACCACTCATTGCCCACTTTCCCCATTATGGGATGCTAAACTGGCTGTGCCCAACAATCCATTTCAAAGATAAGTTATTAAAATTGAAAAGCAAGGAGTTGGTCCTAAACCAAAGTTTATGAGTTAACAAGATCCCGGATTTTATTAGTAGTTGGGGAAACATAGGGCATTAGGAACCACATTTGCCTTAATTGATCGACTCATCACACTGATTCAAAGCCCATACAAACTTTCAAAAAGAATTTTACTTTTTCAATAAGGGAAAGGAATCTTAAAAGATAAAGGGGTTGGCCATGATCACGAGGGAGAGTACCAGGCGAACAAATAAACAATTCAATAATGGAAAGTCTTGGGCACACTCTTTATTATGCTTCTTAGTTATTTTTTTAAAATTAATGATCATTGTTTGAGATCAAATTATAATTAAAATCAAGTGATAGTCACCCTCTCAATGTCATTGGTTTCTCTTTCTAATAGCAATTAGTGCTTGCTCGATGGACATGATTAATTACAGATGACCTAATTAATTTTTTTTTCTAATGATAACCACTCCGTTTATAGAACATTTAATGTATACGAAACAGCTAAGCTAATGTTTGTATTTTACATTTTTTACAATCTTTATAAATCATAAGCCGGTCAAACATATATATAGTTTTTCCCATAATTATATGAAATTCGTGTGTCATTTAGATATTTGTATTGACGCTGCTGGCCTCCTCTGCCATACGTAGGCATTATTTATAGATTTCTCCTCTCATAAGATCATTGCTGGGTACAATTTTAAATTTTGTTTAGCTTTTTTTTTTTTTTTGAGAATGATTTTTATAATAATGGATAAGAAATTTGTACCTCAAAAACAATATCTCACGTGCATGCTACATTAATTTATACAAATTGACATACAAAAATTTATGCACAGTATAAATTTTCTAGTTGTGGACAAATTCAAATTGCGGCAAAAAACGTAGTTATTGAAGATTCCTTCTTGTTTTCATTTGAGATTTTTCACACTGACAAACTTTTTATTTAGTTCCAATTTTAAAATAATATTATTCAATTTTATCATTTGCATATGATTGGTAGGTAGTATCATTGTTTGATTAGAGATTTTAAAAAGAAGACTGAGAAAGAGAAACAAGGCGTATCCGACATTATTATACTAAAACAAAGCTTGAGGACAAGAGCGCCCTTATACAAGTGTATCTTTTATTCTGTTTACTTAAACTTACCATTATCCCTGCAAAGATAAGGCTTTGAACCCTGGAAGAGTCTTTGTTCAATGTTCCCTTCTAATCAACGTGATGACTTCCTGTGCGAAATCTCAGATATTCCCCACCATGAAGATTTTCTGCAACAAAATTTGACATCTGGGGAAGCTTCCATAGAGGGAAGTAATCTCTGATATTCCTCCATCACATGTCGATTGACTTTACTAGGTTTTGAGTAGTGTTCTCAAGAAATAGCTACTCTTTACACATTGGTACATATTTATTCAAAATTAACTATCTTTGAAGTTTGGAGATCATAAGATTTTTCTGTAAGGAAATAATTATATATTGCCGGGGTTTTTCTTGATGGGGAGAGGGCGTTACAGGGGAAGCGAGCTGTGTCATGAACGAGGCAATGAATTACAGAAAATATTTGAAGAAGAGGATCCAAGAATTACATAAAAAGATGTCAAATTTGGGTGCTTTCGATCAAGGACGAGCATATACATACATACATACATACATACATATATATATATATATATATAAAGAAAAAGAAAAAGAAGAAATCAGGATAAGCTTTTCTTGCATCCATGTTACAATTTTGAGAAGAGAATTTCTGGGTTAATTTGCTGTTGCTTTTTGAACTTTTTTTTAATTGTTTTGATTAAAGGGTGAATAAGAGAAGGGATTAACCCTGGGAAATCTACTCTCTCAAGGAGCTTCTGCACGCAACAAACAACTTCCACATCGATAACAAGATTGGCAAAGGCGGATTTTGATATAAAGGCTTCAAGGGATTACACGCCTAAACACAGCTTGATCACTCATCTGCATGGCCAACTTGCCTCTGATGGCTAAAGTTTTGTTTTTAAATGTGTCCTTTTATTTATTTATTTTTTTAAAGATACTTGCATGATCTTGAGGCCAATCCTCATATAATACACAGAGATATAGAAGGCCAGCAAGGTTCTTAATTTTAGATAAAAGTTTCAAGCAAAAGTTGCTGATTTTTGGCTTTTTGCAAAAGTTTCCATAAATTTCTTCTATTTCCATGGCATTAGGAACTTCCCATTTAGCTTTTTACGCTGTTATTTTTATACAGTTGGCTTGCAATTTAATTACTTAGTATATTAATATTTCTCAAAATTTTTACTCTTTTTTATGTTAAGATACTTCTTTCTTTGTTCACCCCATTTCTTTTGAGATTAGAGATGTCAATAGGTAAAGTATAAATAAGATAAAAAATTCTTTATCCCTATCTTTGAATTTTTATATTATATGCATTTTTATACTCATACCAAATAAATATTTTAAATCTTTTCTTATCTACATCTCTGTTAGCATTTAATGAGTAAAGATAATCTTCATACTCATAGCTTTAAAAAAAATAATAATAAATTTAATTTTTTTTAATTTTTATCTTGTATATTTACATAATTTTTATAAATATATATTAATATATATTTTTAATAAAAATATATTAATTTTAATTAATCTAAAGTAATAATTTATATTATTTAATAAAAAAATTATTTACTAAATATATATAAATATATATGTAGACTATAGGTACAAGACAAGTACTATATTACTTGTTTCTATCTCCTTATTCAATAAAAATTTAAAATTATATCTATCCTCATCTTCATTATTATATTTTAATAAAAAATCAAATTTCTTATTAATTATGATAAATTGGATATCTTTGTTTGCGATTGATTTGTATAAAAACATTAATAATGATAGCTTAGAGCGACTCCATTTGGGCTTCCAAAGCCCAAATTAAGCCACCCCGTGCAAGGGCCTATTCTTCTTAGGCTTGTACTTTTAAAAGAATCAAACCTGAATCATCCATTTGGACTTCGTTTCCCGTGATGTAGTAATCATAGGGCAGGCCCTGTTCTCTGTTTGAAAAGATTTAAGATTTTTCTCCAACCTCTGTGGTTATCAGAGTATGAGAAAATGAATAAAAAGAAAAACGAAGCTTCATTCCAACTTAATAAGCCATGTGTTCTCCCAAAACGTCACTACTTGCCTTGCACGGAATTTCTAAAAAATTGTTTGACAAACATGGCCAGTGGCCACTCTGTCAGGACGAAGAGATTGGTTGAAGAATCCTTTTGACTTTCTAATATTGCTCACCAAGCAAATCTCTTAGCTGTCTTTATAATTTGAGCCACGCCATAGAGTTCAAAGAAAAAACAAAACTAGAAACCTCATCAAAATACTCTGCAATGTCAAGCCAAACACCAACAGTCCCTTCTCCCGATCCCATCATCGTCGATGATCCCTACAAGCGCCTCGAAATCACCCTTAATCCTGACGGTTCTCTTACACGCAACGCCAATAGGTATCCTAACACCTCAGCCACACCTGATCCAAACCAACCCATCCCAGTTCTATCCAAGGACATCATTTTCAACCAAGGAAAACACACTTGGGCTCGCATATTCCTGCCCCGGTGGCAAGTAATTGATACTTCTTCCAGTGCAAAGAAGCTCCCTCTCATAGTCTACTACCATGCAGGAGGGTTCATCCAATGCAGCGCAGCATCAACAATTTTCCATGTTTTTTGCTCAAACATGGCTTTGGAGCTCCAAGCTATAATTGTGTCCGTTGACTATCGTCTTGCTCCTGAGCATCGGCTTCCAGCAGCTTATGATGATGCCATGGAAGCGTTGCACTGGATAAAAACTACCCAAGAGGAATGGTTGACAAAGTATGCGGATTTTGCTACTTGTTTCCTTATGGGGTCAAGTTCAGGTGGCAACATTGTCTACCATGCAGGATTACGCGCAGCCAAAGAAGTTGATGATCTTGAGCCCTTGAAGATCCAAGGGCTAATATTGCACCAACCATTCTTTGGTGGGTCCAAAAAGGCTGAGTCAGAGTTAAGGTTGGTCAATGATCCCATCTTGCCACCAGGTGTGAGCGACCTGATGTGGGAACTGGCGTTGCCCAATGGCGCTGACCGTGATCACGAGTATTGTAATCCAACAGCAGGCAAGGGGTCAACGCTTTTGGAGAATCTGGTTTCCGTGCGATGGAGGGTGCTGGTGACTGGATGTGATGGGGATCCTTTGATTGACCGTCAGGTTGGCCTTGTCAAGTTGATGGAAGAGAAGGGAGTAAAGGTAGCGAGTCATTTTCATGCAGGAGATTATCATGGAGTGGATTTTACGCAGCCTGCTAAGGCCAAGGCACTTTTTTTGGTCTTAAAGCGGTTTATTTGATCTGCTGAGACTGAATTGATCGTTTTCAACTGCGATGGATGGCGTGCAGTGGCTTAAATAAATGCAGATTAGAAATTTGGTGCTGTTTTTTTAATTGAAAAGCAAGCAGAGGATAGTTAATGTGATAATTATCTATTTTCTGAAGGAAATAATAATAATAATAATAATAATAATAATAATAATAATAATAATAATAATAATAAAATTATTTTAAAAAATAAAAGACCAGACAAAAAATTGATCCTACTATCAAATGCTCGAAAGAAATTATAATGATAAACTGATATAGCAGTTTGCAGAAATATTTGATGGGCTACAGCCTAATAAAGCAATTATTATATAAGTTTTTTGGCCCAATTTGTTACTTCAAAAAGATTAAGACTATGAAATCAAGAAATATCAAAATGTGAAGCATGTATATATTCAATACCTTCTACTTGTAACAATTGTCACATCAAAATTTAGAAAAAAAAGAAGTGGATCCATCATCCATACAGGATATTAATTAAAAACATGGTAGTATTTATACTCACTGAATGATAATTATATGTGGACATTTAAAGAATTATATCAATTATAGGAATTATAGCAATTAATTTATTCATTTAAAAAAACATTTTTAGCTTTTGTAACATACTTACCAATGAAAATAAAAATGTGCGAAGGCGGTAATCTTCCCCCAACCGAGGCTGGACTTCATTATAAATCCGGACTCACAGCCAAGAAAATATACAAAGTAGCACAACACTGTAGAACCACGACTATCTAGTTTCAGTGAATTAATTGATCAGTATAATGTCAGGTCGAAGCCCTCTCGCACCCATCACGGATCCGTTCGAGTATCTTCAGATCGTCCTCAACCCTGATGGCACCCTCACACGCAACTTCAACAGCATCCCCTGTGTTCGGCCAAAACCAAATGATCCCCAAGGCCACACTCCAGTCCTTTCCAAAGACGTCCCTATCAACCCATCAAACAAAACTTGGGCACGTATATTTCTACCCCGTGAGGCGCTGGATAGCTCTTCCTCGGCAGACAAGTTGCCTCTCGTAGTTTACTACCATGGTGGAGGGTTCATTCTCTTGAGTGCAGACATGGTCATTTTTCATGACTCTTGCTCCGACTTGGCCAAGACTGTCCCTGCTGTCGTCGTGTCAGTCAACTACCGCCTCGCTCCTGAACATCGCCTGCCGGCGGCTTATGACGATGGTGTGGAAGCGTTGCGCTGGATTAAAACAAGTCAAGAAGAGTGGTTGACGGGGTATGCTGATCTCTCTAATTGTTTCCTAATGGGTTCTAGTGCGGGCGGTAACATAGCTTACAATGTAGGCCTACGTGCGGCAGGATTAGTTCATGAGCTAGAACCTTTGAAGATCAAAGGGTTGATCTTGCATCAACCATTCTTCGGTGGAGGCCAGAGGAGTGCGTCAGAGTTGAGGTTGATGAACGATCCAGTTTTGCCACCAGTCGTTAGCGATGTGATGTGGGATTTGTCTTTGCCACTTAATGGCGTTGACCGCGAGCACGAGTATTGCAATGCAACGGTGGATGGCGGGTCAAAGGACTTGGAGAAAATAAAGTCGCTAGGATGGAAGGTATTGGTGAATGGTTGTGATGGGGACCCACTCATCGACCGTCAGATAGAGCTGTTGAAGTTGATGGAGGGGAAGGAAATGCACGTTGTAGGAAATTTTAGAGTGGGAGGTTTTCACGGAGAAGAGGACTTTGATCTGTCCAAGGCACATGTCATGCACATGGTCGTAAAAGATTTGATTATGTCTTCAAACCGATCGCTTAATTGATAAACAAAATAAACCATTGAAATAAAATGATGGTTCGTATTTCGTGCTGCGGCATCTATGGTGATTTCGATGTTTTTCTTCTCCTCATTTTCTATTTTAATTCGCACTAAATGTCACAGACAGTTGTACAATTTGATTTATATATATCGATACCTGCAAATCTTTTGCTTTGAAAATAACGATTCCTAGACTCTTGCCTTTACGTTTTTATTTATTTGTTTTTTTGTCAAAGCCGCCCAAGAAAAGTGGTTGAGAGTGCGCATTTTTCTGTTATGTTCCTAATTGGCATGTTAAGGAGTACGTAGAAGTTAGAAGTTGTTAGAGTTTTTTTTTTTATAAAATAAAAATCAAGAAAAATTATCAGAAGTTGTTAGAGTATTTTTTTATAAAATAAAAATCAGAAAAAATTATAAAGATAGAGATTTAAAATTTAAATTTGTTAAATATTTTTAATAATATGAATAATTTAATTAAATTTTATATTCATAAAAAATTAGATCGGTGTTACTGGCAGTGATTTTAGTCCCATTCAAATCCAACAAGCCACTAGGGCAGTAATTCGTGCTGTCATTGATGAATGATGATGTTGTCTTGTCTTCATTTTTCTTGCTTGAAAGATATTGAGTCTCCCTTTCTTTCTAACGTTAACATTTCATTACGTTGGAAACTGCAAGTCGTGGATGTATATTAACAGCTCTTAAACTTGTGTTTTTATATATGCTTGATAAATTCAAATTGTGACATAAATTTGGGTGCTTAGAACAAAATATTTTTTTATAATATTACACTGTTGGAAGTAGTTTTTGCTAAGTGATTATTGTTGGAATATCAGTTATAAGGCCGAAGACAGAAATTGAATAAAAGAGATGTCAAATAATAATTTTAAAGGAAAAAGGGGGCAACATAATATTTTGATGGGCCCAAATATTGTGACATAAAAGAGATGAAAAATTTTGGGAGGGGCAGTGGCTAGTGATGTAAATGATACTAATATTTTTAAGTTATTTGGGTTCGATTCGAAAAAAATTTGAATTCTGTTTGATTATTATCGAGTCGAACTCAAGTTCGAGTAGTTCAACTTATCGATTGAGTTTTATTCGAGTATTCTTATATCCGATTCAAATAACTCGTTAGTCTAATCGAGCTTTTATATTTAAATATATTTTTATTATTTTAATTAATAAAATATTTCGAGTCCAAGTTTGAATTCAAGCATAAATAATCGAACTTTTATCGAATATATGAATCGAATTTATTTTTATATATTAATCGAACTTAATCGAGCGAGTTCGAGTAGCTCGAATTCGATCACGAATCGAGCTCGAGCTTGAAAAATAAAACTCGATAGAGTTCGAGCCGAATATCGAGTCCCGAATTGTGAGTCAAGCTCGAGCTTCTCACTATATTGACTCGACTCAATTCGATTACACCCCTAACAGTAGCTTTTGTTTGTCGTTGACTTCATCCTTGATTAGTTATTGTTGGTATATAATTCGTCTTATAAACTTTTCTTTGTATTTTTATCCCTTTGTCATAAATTATATTTGTTGTTGTTGGTATATTATTTATTTAGGCACAATAAATAAGTTCAGATTTTTTTTTTTTTAGAGTAATTTAATAGAAGATATTGTTAAGAATCTTATACTTTTGGTAAACCAAACACAAAGAATTTTATATGCATATCAGCTGAACTAAACATAGGTATGATATATTATTACTGAAAAAAGTGCCTTGGTAATGAAAAATTACATTCTCACAAGTAACATAGGATTCTTCCAACTCAACGTTTCAAATGCAGAACTGTCGCTTTTAGAATGATACTAGAAATTAGCCACCATGAATTGGGTTTAAGACTTAAGGTCCAATGCTTACATACCCAAAGTAAGCCCAAATCTGATTTAGTCTATTACAATATACTTTACCATCAATCTCTAATTATGAGATCAGTGATGTGCCGATCCTATTGAGCCTAGCCCAAAATACAGGAGCGATAAGGCTATATATTTTTTATTTCCTTGTGAGCCCCATCTAAATAGACCTATTCTTCAAAAAACCCAAAAAGTTGACACCAAGAATGCGTGACCGTTTCTATTCTCTTATTAGTTTCTTTATTTCTTCGTATGCTTGAAGTTTATAGGTCTCAACTCCCTGGCCACAAAGAAAAAGTTATTTCTTTTTGCCACACAAATTTATGAATGCCATTAAACGGAAATGTTGTGATGGTTATTAATTAATTTCTCATTTTGGTTTTTGAAAGGTCTTTAAAAGGTAATGTTGTGATGTCGCTAAAGGATCTTTGGATTGATCGACTAACTATTAAGAGAGATTTTACTATACTTTAATTTCTTAATATATAGGAGAAAAATTATTTGATTTGTGAACGTAGACAAGTATAATTACATAAGTTTTTGTATATTTTTGTTTGTTTAATTTGGCTGTGATTTTTCCTTTGATGTTACTTTGATAAATTTTCAATATGAAATATTTGTCTCATTGATAGATACAAACAACCAGTGGGGTTATATATATTTTGCACAAGTCGAAAAAATATATATAATATATATATATATATATATATATTGTATGTATGCATTCAAATGAAGTTCTAGACTTATGTGAGTCTCATGCACTAGTTCCTATCACTTTGTAATTTTTATTTTTGCTAGATGACGGAGGAATTGAGTGCAACTATCGATTAAAAAATTAGGCAATGAAAGCCACTCGCTAATGATCTTCATCATGGAAAGTATTGATTACTACTAATTTATCAATTCTAGAGAAGGCAAGTTAGTTACGTGGCAAATGCTAATCTTGTGATCTTATTATAACATAAATGTTTAATTATTGATTTATATATATGTAGAGTTTATAGAAGATAAAGAGATGGGATGGAAGTGAATATATATATATATATATATATATATATATATATAATATCATTTGCCGTCAGCCAAAAGAAAAGACAAGGAAATAGAAGAAATAAGATTTTGGGTGATTGATCAGTTGTTGTGTGTGTTGGACATCCTGGCACGTTATTGTGGAATAGGATCTAATGCAAGGCTATCACTTAATTAATTGAAAAGAAACCAAGTATCCCAACTCGATTTGATCATGCCTTTTTTATCGTTACATGGCTTTTTTAAAGAGATACATGGTTTCCAATTGAACTCTTAATAATTATTAAATTTGATAATTCATGTATTTTTATTATATTTATTTTTTATCAAATACATATAAAAATAAAAATTATTATATTATAATTTATATTAACATATTAAACATAAAAATATATTTTTTATTTTTATTAAATTTATATATAAATTTTATCAATTTTAAACTATATATCTTTTAATTTTTTTATATAATTATAATATCATGTTTAATGTTGTCAAAGTCTAATAATTATAACCTTAGACAGCTTTCAGTGAGTTAATCTTGTAGGTGATGTTGGGTATTAAATATTATCACCCAAGTAATCAAGGGGAGCTCCTGTTTTGCCTTATTGCTTTTACTACTGAAAAATCATTGTCCTTGTCGTGTTCCATGAAAGTAACAGAAGACAAAAATAAAGACGCATACACAAGTTTTTTTTTTTTTTTAAATGAGCAGCCCTAGAGCTCCAGCAGATATAACTGTCCAAAAGATATATATATAAATATATATATATATAGCATTAATTGGTCTAATTAAGTTGGCTAGTTTTCTACATTAAACTAATGAATGTGGGGATGGCATTTGAAATTTAGCTTTGTTTTTTTTTTTTTTTTTCCTCTTTGTTTATGATTTTTTTTATTTGGAATATTATCTTCTATTTTTACTTGTTTCTCGATAAGATACTTTTACCAATAAAAAGCAAGCAATCTTTGTCCTTTCTTTATCCAAATGATTAAAAATGTTCTCGTTTTTTTGGCATGGAAGAAGTGCTAAACCACTGGACAGAGAGCCTTTCATGTGCATTTTCTGAGTTGGAAGTAAATCTACCATGATTGAAGAGCCACTATATAATGAGTCTTCATGCAGTTACACATGTGGGGAGATCTTCTCAAGGTGGGAACAATTTTATATATAAATATATATATATATATATATATATATATATATATATATACCATCTACCTTTTTGGTTTAATTCTAGGATCGAGGTCAAAAGATCAAAGCTCCAAGAAAAAGAGAAAAAATAAAAAAGTAATACTCCTTTTAAAAATGGATGATTAATGGTATTAAAGTCATGATAAAGTAAAAATCTCACATAAATTAAATTGAAAACATTCTAAACACAAATATAATAAAAATCTCTTCACTTATTAACAATTGATTTTAAGTTATATACCTATCTGAAAATTAACAAACAGAATACTAATTAGGAGTATGCACTTAATTAAACATTATGCAACCCTTTGGAATCAGCAAAGAGAATTAGAGAAGAAAGATGAAGAGAGCAATTTCCGTATGATATGATTCAGCATATTTTAGAAGTGATTCAGCATATTTTAGAAGGCAATGTCAATGTTAAATTATTTAGTGTTAGGAAACGCACAGACTTTAAGTCCATATTTTGATGATAAAAGCAATTTCAAAATTGTCATTTAACAATTCATGTTGTCATGCTCAAGTGCCTTATATATATGCGAATTAACGTAAGATTTTTAGGTTGAATTGTTTTCCACATGATGAGACGATGATATATACATAGATGTTGATTATGATATGTGAAATTATTTTTGTTGGAAAATTATCTAAAAAAATCAATGAAAAATTATAGAGAAATCAATCAAACAAAAAACACATAAGAATTTACGTGATTTGACTACTTGCCTAAGTACATGAAGTAAATAGCTTTTCAACTATAAAAAATTTAAATATAATGAGATCCCTCTCTTGATTACCCAAATCAGCCCAAAGTGTTAGGTGAAATAGCCTTAATCTATCACATTAGCGAAAATAAAATCAAATAATCAATCAATTATATAAAAGACAACAATTTAACATGATTTGAAACAACTAACCTACATCCACAGATAAAAAAAAGATTCACTAGTTGTAAAAAATTATAAATATACACCAAATCATATCAACCACTCAACAATCAATACTTATAAACATTATCAATCTTTTCTAATTTTATGGAGTA